GTTTTTATATGTCTGCTTGCTGTTGTTTTTAGTGTAATGCTAAAATCTCTGAATAGCTTGGTTCTTGGAAGCCCATTCAAGACAAAATAGCCAAGCTGTTCTTTATTGAAAGCATTTTAGCTCAGGTATACAATGAACTGTCTTGGTATTGTATTACTGTTTACAGAACAATAATAAAATTTAGATTTGTAGATCTGGTTTTCAAGCATTATCCTATTATAATTAATGTATTAATGCCAGCAGGTACCAGCCACAAATCCATCAAGCAACCACTAATGCATTTTGTCTAGTAGAAAGTGAGAAAAAGAATTATCACCAAACTTTTCCCCGAAGTTTTTAGAATATATAAAAAAAGAGACTTCTGCCTTGCTAGGGAGAGAAAAAATTCATAACCTTCTCCAAAGTTTTATGTTATACAAGTAAGAGGAAAGAAAAAAAGCTGGATCTAACTTGGCATAAGGATTTTGATTGGATTTTCACATTGCATTAAACCATAAAGTATTTTGGCTTAACTAGATGAGTGAATCCATTCACAAAAAGCAGGATGATAGAATTGATATTTTATACAACACAATAAAGTAAATCGGGGTTGGATCTAAGAATGATGCCTGTGACTGAATTTCTTTCCACCTTATTTAGAGGTTGTATCTGTGACTTTTGGTTAGTTTCCCAGAGTCCACTCTAGTCAGCAGTTTTTAATCAGGTAAGAAATAGCAGGAAAGTAGCAGGAAAACTCTTAGGAGCTTTGCACGTTGCGTGAAACTTTAATGTTCATTGGTTTATTGAAACTGTAATTCCAGCTACTGTGATTTTAAAAACCATATATTGTATTTTACTATTTGTGATTGACTATCATATCTTGTTCAACAAACTATAGTTTAAAAACCATGGCTTTTCATTTAGAAGAATGATTTCCACTTAAAATGTTTGCATGAGTTTAGTGGTAAAGAACAGTGTTGGGATTGTACAGTTTTTCCCACTTCTGGTTTGGAAAATTACTGTATAGCTGCTCACAATTTATATCCAATTTGTATCATATCTATAATCAAGAACACATTTTTATTCTAGGCTTATAGCCCAGGTTATGTGCTTTTATATAGAATAACTGTTTACTAATTCTAGCAACCAATGGAACTTGCTTATAAACATGACTAAGGCCATAGATTTTTTCATATTTATGTCTGTGTCAGATTTTACTTAATGTATTTTAAAATATATGCAATTTGGCACAGGAATGAAAATCCTCTTTTAAATATATATTTGAATGTTATTATTCCATGTCTAGATTATAGACAGATTGTGGTTTCCTTTGGTGACTTTGCTATTAGAGCTAAAATGTTTAATGAATTCATTACCATAGTATATGTTTTACACATTTAGCATATGTAAAATATGTAAGCTAAATTTGTCTTATTTGAGTCAAAGAATGAGGACACCCAGGTACTAGTTATTCCATCAGTCCTCAGTGATTTTAGATCAATCATTCTCTTACGGCCTTGCCTAATTCATAAGGTGGTCATTGTGGAAAAATTAAGCAGGAACACTAAGTATGTTGACTTAAGTTTCTGAATAAAAGGCAAGTTATAAATAAAAAATAAAAAATAAATATTGAAAGCAAAATGCTAGTACTGTAATGTACCTGCTATTCACAACTTTATCCTGAAAGATAACCCTTTTCTCTTCCTACATTTATTTGTTTGAACTTTGAACTAGGTGCTCTTTTTTCAAAGTAATTTTGTCTGTATTGCATGGGGATTAAAACAATACATTTAAGCTCTGCTATTTGATAGAATGCTAGACCTATTTGTCATTGTGGAAAAATGATTAAAGCAGCAGTAAGATTTCAGTTTTAAAAATCCTATGAAATGTTTTGAAATGCTGTTTGACTTCCCTGCACTATAGTCTGGACCAGTGGTTGCCAACCTTTTTGGACCTCAGGGACCACTAATCTCATAATTTTAAATCCCGGGATCACTAATATGAATTTTGACTGACGGTGGCTTGCTGACGTTGGTGGGAGAGAGAGAGAGAAATCTGATCTAACCTCTTCCCACCCCCCATACACAAACACACACATACACACACACACACAAACACAGAGAGGCAGGAGTGGGATTCAATTTTCTTAAAAACTGGTCCTTGGGTGTGGCTTAATTTGGGGGTGTGGCAGTCATGTGACTGGCTGGGCATGGCTTGTATGTAAATATTATAAATATTTATGTAAATATTGGATTTTTTATAAAAAAAGAACAACTTTTACCCAAAATCAGGCAAAGCAGGTAGGCAGATTGAGTTGCTCACAGAATCACAGATTCATTCAGAGATCTTTGTTTCTGCCATCGGCTATCTGAGTGTGCACTGAATAATAGAACCTTCAGTCCTAAGGGAGGATTGGCTGTGCTTAAAAGCAGAGCTGAAGATCTAAAGATTAGCTAGAAAGCAAGAAATCCAATGATTTCCTGCTTTCTAGCTAATCTAAATCTTCCAGCACAGGAGAACAGCTGATGGTCGGGGAAAAAAAAGGAAAAATAGCAACTTAGCAGGCAAGATTGCCAGGTAAGGAGTGAGTGGGCAAGGAGGGTTCTTGTGGGCCATGTGGATGGTGCAGCCTTGTGTTCCTGCGCAGCTTGGATTAATTGCTTTGGGGGAGTGCTCTAGGGGTGACATTTCTCTGCGGACCACCAAAATTTTCTCATGGCCCACCAGTGGGCAGCAGCCCACCTGTTGGCAACCACTGGTCTGGACTAGAGGACTTTGAACATCACTGGATGAATCCTACCCACTGGATGTAGTATGACTTTATTCATGGTAAAGATGGATAGCAGTGGGAGGTAAGTTGAATAGATCAGTCCTGAGACAGAATTGAGATGGACTCATGCTACCTCATGAAAAACATCTAAATATGAAATAATTTCCAAAGCTAGACAGTAGGACAAACATTCAGATGTAAGTTTTACATATATATAACAACAGAGGCAGGAATGAGTCACTCGCAACGCATTGCTCTGTGCAGTGGTGGGATTCAAAAATTTTTTACTACCAGTTCTGTGAGCGTAGCTTGGTGGACATGGCTTGGCTTGGTGGGCATGGCAGAGGAAGGATACTGAAAAATCCCCATTCCTTCCCTAATCCACTAACCTGATTTCCAGCTCCATTCTCCTGTGCAGGGCAACAAAAGAAGGCCCAGCCGATCAGCTGGGACTCGGGAGGCAGAAAATAAATGGGGCCGGGGCCAGTCAGAGGTGGTATTTGCCGGTTCTCTGAACTACTCAAAATTTTCAGAACCTGCTGAATACGACCTCTGGATCTGTGGCTTTAATATCTTTACATTTGTTTGTGGAGGGAACCAGGAAGCAGCAGATAAAGGAAATCAGGATGCAGTATACCATATTCCAAGAGCTAAGTACTATTAAAATGGTAGGAAGTAATGAAAAAGGTGAACTGCCTCACTCTACCTCCTGTTTTTTAGCATTTCAGCTTTTCTGCAAAGCTGGGAGAACTTCAGTGTTCTACTTAGTAAAACCAAAATTGCTATCGTACTGCTGAGATAGGATTTGTCATCACTAAGACCAACAGAGGATTTTATTGGCTTCAAATCAGAGGTGGTATTCAGCAGGTTCTGACCAGTTCTGGAGAACCCGTAGCAGCAATTTTGAGTAGTTCGGAGAACTAACTGGCCCCACCCCCATTTATTCTCTCCTCCCAGTTGAGTCCCAGTTGATCGGCTGAGTCTTCTTTTGTTGCCCTGCACGGGAGAACGGAGCTGGAAAGCAGGTTAGTGGGGTGGGGAAGGAATGGAGATTTTGCAGGATCCTTCCCCTGCCACGCCACCAAGCCACACCATGCCCACCAAGCCACGCCCACAGAACCTGTAGTAAAAAAATTTGAATCCTACCACTGCTTTAAATTTATTGAATAGTAAAACGATGTAAAAAGTAAGGCTCTTTCCGAAACACTGTTGGAGCCAATTATGCATCCTTTAAAATATACCACTTGTTTGAAGGGGGTGTGTCTGTAAGTTTATACAGTAATGAATGGGTTAGTTTGTAAGCTGCCACAATATACTTATGGTTTTTGTTTATTATATTTGAATATTGTTTTTCTCCCTGTGCAATAAATTAAATGATATTTTTAAATTGTTTGAACATCAGATTTTAAACAGAACTAAACTAAAGGCTGTCTGGTAAATTGCTAACTGAGCAGTTTGACTTATACTTCTCTTTTCAAAATATTCTTTTATACAGTATGGATCTTTTTAAAGTTCTGGCACAGCTGTTCTTTTTGTCAAAGGATACTATATGCAAGATCAATTGCGACTCTGGGAAGTTGGGAACAATATTTTCTCTGACCAGTGGAGGAATGGCGTGGTAGAGGCCAATAGCATAGGGTAAAGGTTTATTTCGTCTCTTTTGGAAAGCAAGCTTTTTCCCCCCTAAAAACTTGTCAAGGCGTTTGTAGTTTACTATGTGAAATCTAAGCACGATCCTTTGTTTCACTTGAAAACAAATGGATTCGACCCCCACCCCACATCTCCAACCCTGAATTTATTTTAGACAATTCTATTCAGGACGTACCCTTGGCCTTTAAATAGAAAAGGAAACACCAAGTCCTGCTACAGAGTAAGACCACGGGAGGCGTTTTATGTTTAATTCTGTACAGCTAGACTTTTGGTGGTTGAGTTGGCATCTCTTCAAAACAGGAAAATACGTACAACGTTCGGCTTTTGGATCGGGTGACTTCAGAGTTTCCCCTTCTCTAGATGTGTGTTGCGTGTGCGTGTATAACATTTATCTCTACGAAGAGAGCTTCCGGTTTCTACATGCAAGGCAGAGAGAGTCGCTTTTTTTGCCGCCTGCTCTAAAGAAGCGTCCTTTTAGCCCGGCTTTATGCGTCGGCTCCCCTTCGGAGGGCGAGCGGCACCAGCCGCCTGCAGAGCGAGGAGGAGGAGGAGGGGCTTGAGCAGGCCCGATTTCTTTCCCTATCCTGTTCGGTGGGCTGGAAGGGAGGGGAGGGGAGGGGGAATCTTGGGTCCGTCCCCTCAAGAAGGGCTGCTATTGGCCATAGTGGATGCCAGTCGACGCTTCCTGCCTGCGCCGGGAGCCGAAAAGAGAGGTTGCAAGAAAGAGGAAGCGGTAAAGCTAAGCCGAGCCGAGAGGAGGGAAGAGGTGCAGGGCGCGGTCCCTGTCATTGATCCGGGCTACTTCCTTCAATGTTCCCTCTCTTCCTTCCCTCTTAGGGCGGATTGGCCCTCGCTTGTTTCCCCTTGTCTATGCGAAAGACCGAGCCGGAAGTCGGGCAGAAAGGGCGGCGCGGGCGAGAGGCAAAGCTAAACCGGGCGTTCCCGGAGAAGGGCTTCTTCGAGGGAGGGAGGGAGAGAGCGAAGGGAGCGCCTTTTCCTCTTCGTGGCCATCCGAGAGCGACCCCAGCATGGAAGCTGTCGCCAAATACGACTTCAAAGCCACCGCGGACGATGAGCTCAGTTTCAAACGGGGAGATATTCTGAAGGTAAGTGGAGGGTAGGCAGGGTAGGCGGTGCACAAAGAAGCCGAGGTTGCCCTCTTCAGGCTTTCTCCGAAATGGGTTTGGTCTCCAGAAACTCCGTCACATCGCTCCCGAGACCTTTGCCTGGCAATCGCGCTCCCCGCCTCCTTCCCACACGTTGAATTTGGCTTTGTTCAAGTTGATGGGATAGAAATTGCCTTTCAGGTTGTGGGCTCGCACTGTTTTCCGCGTCAAGGTCGGGGGCGGTGGGTGGTCGAACTGCGCTAACCTTCATATATATATATATATATAGAGAGAGAGAGAGAGAGAGAGATACACACACACACACACACACACACACACACACACGCCGCTTGGCTGTGTGATACTGCAGGTTTGGGTAGTTGTCAGTTATTTCCTTCCCATTTTAACTGTCTGTTTCCTCTTTGGTTAGTGTCAGATTCCCTGCTAGTAAGCGAGAAAGAGTTGTAATGCTTCAGGGAGGGCGAAGAACAGCAGTTTTACTTCGTACTTGCTATCAGGGCTGCTTGGAAATATTCTTCTGCCACCACTCTCTGCTATTCATATTTTTCTGGCGACATGGTTTTTGTTAAACTGTGGTTTTTTATATGTATGTGCATCTATCAACTGGAGGTAACATGAATGCTTCTTGGAAAGAAAGCTTTGTGGGTGGACTTCAACTCCCAGAATTCCCCAGCAAGGCTTGTTATCTAGTTAAGGATTCTGAGAATTGAAGGCCTCTGGGAAGTTGCCATAAAAAACACTGCCACAGTTCAGTGTCCTGTACGACTTTACTGCTCCTTTTACTAATAATACACCCCATGAACACATTGCAGCTTTCCTTATATTTTCCTTATTCTATTTCCTTAGAATTACTGAGGAAAGAAGGGATCTTGGAGATCTTTATTTTTTTTAAAAGCCACACTTTTTCTTTTTTGTGTTTCCTCTCAAAGATAATCAGAATCTGCTTGTAAGTTCAGTTAATATAGAAGAAAATGAATACATTATTTGATGTACAAACTTCATCTATTTGAAGTCTTTATTTTGTTAAGCTTCTAATAACACAATGATAGTTGTTGAGCACCCAGATACATTTATAATATAGTACGTTTAACCTTTTCTGGAATATAGTTCATAATTTTTATAAGTATATTAAAAGTTTTGGAACAGTTTGTAGTTAACAAAATACAACTATTTCATTATGCAGCAGGACAATAATTTCAATTTAAAAATGTGTACTCTGTCTAGAGGCTACATGGTGACTAAAATAAATGGATATGTATTTAAAAAGTTAAATCAGGCATGCTTAAGCTCTAGGATGGGGGGTTTATAATGTCAAACTATAAATGTCTTTGGTCCTCCTTTGTATTAAGAAAAGATAAAATTGAGATGCCATATTTGGGGAGCCAAAGAAGAGGCTGGGGGCTTAAAGAAATCAGATTAGTCTTATTTTTTCTGGGTTCATATTAGATTGAATTATAAATATTAATGTGAATAGTTTAGTCACGAATTATATTTGGAACTTCCTTATTTGTTTTTACCAATGACATTTATTAATATCTGATCCAGACATTAAGACTCAATGGTTTTCAATATTAATGTGGTACATCTAATTCAGGTGAGGTGGGGAAGGGAAACTAATATTCATAGATTCCTTCCAATGTGGTTAACATTTAGTCAGGGAATCAAATCATGGGGAAACAACGCCCCCCCCCTTGAAGAATGGTATTCCTTTCAAGTTCCTATTTAAAATCCTTGCCTGCAACGTTGAATATAGCAGCACAGTTGTTGAATCATTTTTTAAAGAATATGCATTGAAGCCTTACTTCATCTCATATTGCATTGCTTCCTTGGTTTCATCCAACACTTGGATCCAAAAATAGGTATACTTATTTCCTATTAGAATTAATATCTGACAATTTAATAATTTTGGCTGGGTCCCACACATCATTATGCTCCACAGTTCTTGTTAGGTAATTAATATACTTAATGTAAATTAATGAACCTTTCTTTTTTCAAATCAGGATTTAGGCAAGAGGTTTGGAATCTAGCAAGAAATTACGTATCTTGTGATACTGTTCTCCACTCTATCAGTCTTTTATTAAACGTGTCTTGGAATTGACAATATGCATTCCATTTAATTCTTGTGCATATGAAATGATTTCCAAGTAAATATATTTAGATTTTGGTATTTATTAAATGTATTTTAATATTAGTTATGTTGTACTTTTTTACCAACCTATTGTCTTTTTGCTTTTTTCTATTAACTAATAAAATATATATAAAACATTGGAATTATAAAGAGAAGGACATGTCATAGAAGTTAATATGTTTAGATTTGCAATCTTGCTAAATTATTCCTTCATTTCTTATATAGACACACTAAAGAATATTGATGAACATATATAGATAGTCCTCAACTTACAACAGTTCATTTAGTCACTATTCGAAGTTAAAATGGCATTGAAAAAAGTGACTTATGACTTTTAACACTTACGACCATTGCAGCATCCCCATGGTCACACGGTTTACATTTGAATGCTTGACAACTGGTTCATATTTATGACGGTTGCAGTGTCCTGGAGTCATGTGATCATCGGCTGCAAACTTCTGACAAGCAAAAGTCAGTGGCGAGGGCAGATTCACTTAACAACAGTGTTATTAATTTAACAACTGTAGTGATTCGCTTAACAAATGTGGCAAGAAAAGTTGTAAAATGGGGCTAAACTCAATACATTTCTCATTTAACATAAATTCTGGGCTCAGTTGTGGTCATAAGTTGAGGACTACCTGTATTAACCATATTCACATTATTTTAACTATAACGTGTCATTCTCAGTATGTTTTCAAAATGGTATTTTCAAAAGGAATAGGTTTGTATTGCTCTTCAACACTTGAATGATTAGAAATGTCCTTCCATAGATTTGGGGAAGAAAACAAAATACATTTTCTTAGACAGATTTTCAGTAAGCCATCTTTAAAAATCTTATTTGCAGGAAATGCACATATTCAGTTCTTGGCTGTTACTTGAATTGCAACTGTTACCTACCTTGTGGTTATGTTCTAAAAGCAAATGAACTTTTGGTTGAAAATTGTGTAAATGTGTTCAGCTCTGTTTGTATGTGTGAGATTATAGTATGATCAATTTTGCTTCTCACTTTGAAAATAAGGAAATTTGTCTATTTTCAATCATCTGTCACGATATAGTGCTATCTGCCAAAGAAAACATTTTAAAAAATTTTTGCCTTACAAAATGTTAGAAACTATTTTTGTATTGTTCAGATGGCACGTTTTATATTTCTCCCAAGCGACATTAAACTAGGCATGTTGTTTTACATAATTTGTTGCATTTATGAACGTCTGCCAACTAGGCAAATAGGTCAGTACATAATAAAATCAAGAAAAGAGGAAAAATAATTATACCATATAATTTGAGAACAGCCTTAAAATGAGAAAGTGACAAAAATCATATATTAAAAGCCAGAGAGTAGGAGCTCGGAACAAAACATCCTGTGTTTGTCTTATGTGGGACCTCGAAACTAGTAATTGTTCCTGTTTTTGTCCTTAGGCCACAAAATATATAACCAGCATGTTAAATTGAACAAAGGAACTGATGATCAATACTGTAAGAATAAAGAAATGTACTTTTGATTTATAAGAAGATGGGCTGCAACATTTTGTCATATCTAAAACCTCAAGTATGTTCTGGATCATTTTCAAGACCCTACAATGCATGGAATGTGGGTTGTGGATCATAACCTCTGTCTGCCTTTAGAAGAGACGGCAAGATACTTATTGGATGACATGTTCCTAGTTCCCTCCCTTAAATATTGCCACCTTATGGGAGCTAGAAAGCATGACTTTTCCATGTCTTTTCCCTGCCCTATGGAACACTCTTGCTTGTACCCTCCTAGCCTTCCAAATAGCAGTGAAGGTTTGGTTTTTTTCCCTCAGCTCTGAGATAGGAGGAGTTGACTGTGTTGGAAACGTTACATGGTGCTAGGTTTTTATTCTTAATGTTTATGGTTTTAGTAGTTTTAATATGGTTTTTATATTGTTTCATTAGTGATGTTTTAATTCTTGACTGATAGCTGCCCAGAGTTTGATATAAGATGGACAGCTATATAAATATTTCAATAATAATAAATAATAAATAAAAAAAATATTTTTGCAAGATTTTTAATGTTAGCATTTTAACTTTATAATGTTTCATTCAGTGGTCTGTAAATGTTAACCTCTCTTCAATATTCTTTTGAATTAAAAACAGGATGTCAATTGAATTAAAAAATAATTTAAAAAAAAACGATGTGTTAATATAATGCATAGAGTTCTGAGTTCCTAAGAAATGGTGAAACCTCCAAAATAGATATAAAAAACATTCATGACAACTTGTACCTGCAGATATAACGTTCAATGTAGGAATTGAAAACTAGAAGTATACTGCTTTAATACTTGCAGATAAATACATCCATTTTAAAATGTGAAGTTCATTTCCTGTATATCTTGGATGTTGTTGTATTTTAGAGGTGTTTGTTGGGTCAATTTTTAACCATGTTGTCTGATTAATTTATAACTTATATGTAGAATATTTTTCATAATACTTCTTTGGTATTTTAGCTTCTGTAGGCTGCAATTGAGAAGGCCAATAGGCTACCCGGTATTATTGCTTAAAACCTAATGTGCTTCTGGCAAATAAATTCTTACTCTGTTGGGATCTCTGCCAGCTGGCAACTGTTCAGATGTAAAGTGCATCGATACTGCTTATGATTTGGCACATGGTGGAGAAAGGATAGATGTCCATATTTCCCCTGGTTAATAATGAAATGAAGTCCATCCTTTATCTTGATTTAATATACTGTAGCACATCATAAGAATAGGCAACAGCTTATTTTCTAGGGATAGATGCCCTGTATTTTCACTACTTAGACAATATCAGTAGAGATATAAAACATTGTGTAAAGTGCTTACTACGCTGCTAAAATTAGAGTGTTGAAAATGCATGA